CATTGTTGGAGGTGCTATCTTTCAGATCGTGCATTAAACTGAGATCCTGTGGGTCTGTTCAGGTGGACGTTAAAGATCCCATGACACTTTTTGAAAAGAGAAGGAGAGTTTCTCTTAATGACCTGACCAACAATCCCTCGGTTAACATTAGTCGTTCACTTAATGGTTTCTTGTAAGACATTGCTATGAGCAAATTGACTGTCACGTTCATCTACAAAATAGAGTCCAGCGCATTGGGACGTCCTCCTGACGTGAAAGGCACTATACAATTGTAATTTTGTTGATGTTGTTTTGATGTTAGTATACTCCACAGTAAATCCTGTGAACTGCTTTGAGATGTTTTGATGAGATTAGGTGCTATATCAAATGAAAGATTGTTATTGCTATGTTGAAATTGAAATTTGTGCTCAATGAATTGCAGTTTACTGCCACTTTAAATTATTTCTACTCAATCAATACATAGTCTGTCACAGAACAGAAGCAGGCCATCAGCCTAACTGTTTTGTGACAGTATTTATGCTCCACATGAGCCTCCACCTCTCCTATTCCCCTCTCCTATACCCCCCTATTTCATTCTCCCTTATATGTGCATCACGTTTCTTATATATATTGATGTTTTCAACTTCACCTACATTTTCTGCCACTGAGCTCCACATACTCACCACTCTCTATGCAAAGAAGTTCCTTCTAAACTCCCTTTTTGATCAGTTGATTTTCATTTACACACATATTTTGGACTCGCCAAAAAGTGGAAACAGCCTATTAATGTCCACCTTATCAAATTCTTTCATAATTTCAAATACCTCTAACAGGTCCCCTCTCAATCATCTGATCAACAGAGAGAAAAGCTTTAACCTATCCAATCTTGATAGTTGTATTCACTCATCCTTGGTAACATCCTTGTAAATCTGCACTGGATTCTTTCTGTAGTATGGCAACTAGAACTGCACACAGTATTCCAAATGTTGTCTAACCAAGATTTATGAAAGTTGAACATTACTTACCTACTTTTATACTCTGTTCCCCTGGATATAAAGCCAAGGACTATATGCCTTGTTTTGGCCGTGTGCTGCTACTTTTTGAGTTCTGTAAATCTGAATCGTTAGATTTGTTCCTCTACCCCACTTAGAAATTTGAATTATGGTAAGAGTCTATTTACAATGTTTTATGCATTGCATACAGAATATTTTGTGATGTAAACCTATTTCAAACAAAATCATTTGAAGATGCTGATGTTGTTTGCCACACTTGGTTTATTCTTAAATCAGTCCTGTGTTATGAGCCTTACTATTCTTCTGGGTAACCAGTTCCAGTTGTTGATTACTCCCTGCACAAAGAAATGCTTATTGCTTTCTTTCCTAAAATTACTCTTCACACCTTGTGCCCAGTTGTTTTGGGGCTTCAGTTTATTTTGAAGTATTTAAAGTACAGCAGTATCAGCACAGCTGGATATAATATAAAGTAGTCTGAAGGCTGCAATGATCTTTTAGCGTTTCAAGTGTTAATGTTTATGTTGTTTAAAAAAAGAACAATTTTCCTCCGCTGTAATGTAGCAAACTTTTTTTTTACAGGTGCAGTCAAAGTGACGCATCTTTTATATGCTGTAAAAAATACAGCAATTTGTCGGTATCTGCTGGAGTGAAGATGTAAACTGACAACGAAATAAAACTCTCATAGTAAATTGAAATGACACAAAAAATAACTCCATTACCGGAACTGAGTGTGTAGAATCTTACTTGCACATGTACTGTGGATTTCATAACTTTAGTTTAATGGATACAGTGTTCTGTATTAGCAGGATAATGTTTCAGTTAATGAGCATGATTTATTATGCCTCCAAGTAATCCTTCCAGATGGTGTAGGTTTTCAGTATATGTGATTTGTAATCTGGACAATCTTGATGGATACTATGTAATGTCCATTACAATTTGCCATTTAAAAAAAAAAGCCGTTTTCACTCTTTGCGTCAATATTCCAGCTATACTTAAGCATTCTGAGTACTGAGAACTTGGGACTGCCAGAAGGTTCGGGTCCTAGGAATACTGAACTCTTTGTCCTTTCAAGGTTTATAAAATGACAAAATTGTGTGTGACGGACAACTGTTTCTCTGGGTTGAATGTCTCTCTGAGGAGATGTGTATGTTCACTGTAATTCAAGATGTTGTTGAAGGCTCATCAATGAGTTTTGGAGGTGCAAATGTGCCTTGAACTTTATGCAAAATCGCTAATGGTTAGTGTGGTCCCAGCTGATCAAATCCTGTGAAATGTAACAGTGCTTTTTACTAGTAAAGCTATGTTACCATTAAATTAATAGACTGATGAAACTAATGGAAGATTTAACCTGATTACTTGGCAATTGACTTAAAGATGACTGTTTCTCCAACATAGCATGACTTACAAGTGCTCTGTGCTGTTAATGATCCTCTGTAGTTTTGACAAATGTAGTACCAGTATTACTACATAAAAAACACTGCAACCAGATCAATGTTTTTTAAAAATATAATCCATTCAGAATAACAGTAATATAATCCTTACATTTGATATAGTGCCTTTTCAAGCTAAAATTTCTCAAATCGCTTCACACTTATTGGTTAAAATGTAGCAACTGTGTGTTTATAGGCGAACACGGCTGAAAATTTTCACACAGCAATGTCCTACAAATTACCAAATAAAGCAAATGACTAACTTATCTGGAGGATTGTTCACCAGAGCACAAGGAGAAACTCCCTTCTCAAATAGTGCCATGGGATCTTTCAAGTCTGCCGTAACAGGCAGGAAGAACCTCTGTTTTAATGTCTCAGCTTTTTGTTGTGCTTGGCTAAATAAAACTGGAAAAGAATCAAGTGCTAAAATCAGCCCATTTTAAATTATAATGCTGACTTTCAGTAACAGTGCAAAAACTGCTTGCTGTGGAACATGAGAATGTGCCAATGCACCACTAACTCTGATGCATTTGATGAAGCTATGATTAGTCCTTCAAGTGTTGATGCTTCAAAATGCTTCCTACATAAACCAATAATGTTTCAACTACCTTCTGCAATTTCATTTTTTGTGAAAAGAACTTAATGAAATACTATCTGTAAAATACACCAAAATACAGAAATCTTTTCTTACAAAAGTGCCATGTTTTTACTGTCAGAACATTTTGATATTGGCAAGAACAGAATTCAAATAAACAGGAGGAAATCCATCTTGTTTAATAAATATAAACAAATATTCAGGTCAGTAGTTTGTGTATTGATTAAAAATTACAGAAAGTCTTCTTTGGGTTAATTAAATGTAGGTGATGAATTTACTTGCACAGTTGAGCACTGTCTTATTAAGTGAGACGTCCTGTATTTTAGAAGTACACACACCCAGCTGACCAAAAAAAATAGAAGTGAACAGCTCCAGGATAGTGCAGCTTTAAATAACAGGCACTAGTATGGCAAGAAAAGCCATTTGTCCTCTTAGGCTGATGACATATTTGTTAGAATACAGTACTAATACTGAATCATGTTCCAGTCCTTGTGGTATAGTAAATCCTGTGTACCAAGACCACCCTAGAGAAGCATAGAATGATCATCTTTCACAAGTGGTCATGTGGTTTGGTGTTCAGAAAAATTGGTACAGTATGTGAAATCTGCAGCAGCCATAAGGAGCTTTTGTGTTCTAGGAGCCTGTACATTCTGATGATGAAATCTATTTTAGATCTATTTTCACCCACAAAATATACAGTCCATTCACTTTACAATATATTCTGGGGAGTGGGGGGGCAGATTAGTACCTGGGATCAAGGATTCTTCCCACTCTTTAACAGTCCAAACCAAAGACCAAATGTATAAGGTGGTCCTAGTTGGATAAGCAGCGGGAAAGCTTGCCAGACAGTGCTTTCATTGTCAAGCTAATGCTAATCACTTTTATTTGGTTAAGTTCCAGCATTACCAAAATATACACTCTAGGGATCTCAAGCCTTGGCTCTTGCCAAACCATGCCCAGTATTCTCTGGAAGCTTGGTGTCCGCCTATGTCCCCCCCAACCCCCCCAAGGGAGAGAGTGCCCATTCCATTTCTACTCGTGGAAATCTCATAAGTAGATAGCATGTGTATGTGGAACACTATCTGGTTTGGATACCCTTACCCATAGTATATTATGCTTAAGCGAATCCAATGCAGACAGCGTTACTGCTTGTGTTGGATGTCCAGCTAACCAAAACATGTAGGAAGAACTTCTTGAAGCGTTTTAGAAAGTTTTCAGTGGGAGCCCAAGCTAGGAGGGAACTAGGAGAGAGGTGGAGGTGCAGTCAAAGAGAGAGTTCTTTAAACTGGTTTTGAAAGCAGATAGGGAGCGAGGCAGAGGGATATCAAATGTGTTCCAGAGGGCGAAGGACAAATGAACTGAAAGTTTGCCCACCAGTAGGCAGGGGGCATGAAGCAGGACAGATTTGTCCTAACATGAGGGATTACTAGTTGAGTGATCGCAGGAGATGGCAGAGGTCAGTCGGAGCAAGGCTATGATCAGATGAGGAATAGGGAGTCAATAGAGCTGAGGAAAGATGGAGTTGATAGGCTCATGGAGTCTCGTGTGGAAGAGAATTTCGAGTCCGGATTGAAAGTTTAAAGGAGAGTTGAGAGTAAACAAACCTCTTGAGTTTTTGCACAGGCTCCCTCCTTGGGTTAAACTATGAATGGAGAGGTTAATAATATCAGCGCTGAGATAAGGAGTCACTGACAGGAGTTGAGCAGGAAAGCCTCCTTTTTTTTAAATTGTTAAGAGATGTGTCTAGCTCGAGTTGGAATATATGTTTAGGTTGTACTGCTCAGTTGTTGAAAACATTAAATCTCTACAAGAGATTTTGTCAACCAGTGGGTGGCCCAAAGTAGCTTTTGCATTTATCAGGGAGAGGAGACAATAAAACATTGTTTTCCATTTTTTTTTACAAGTACAAACAGACAAAATTGTTTCAGATTATTAAATACTATTAAAAAGCCTAATAAACCTTTATCTTGAATTTTTTTAAAGGGGACCATTCATCCTTTCCGCAAGTCTCACCGGTCTCTGGGTGGAAAGTTTACGCAAGAATTTCTGCTGGTGGCAGCTGATAGGCGGGTAAGTTCTGTGTGCATTGTGTATCTGCAAACCGATTTCTTGTTTAGATATGTTTAATTCTCTTGAAGATAAATCGCTTGAAGATTTTAAGATAATTAAAATTGTACCTTTTTAAAAAAATTCTTACTGACATCTTTGGTAAGCCATATTTTTTTATATTAAAAAAATTATATCACATGAAGTCCTGATCATAACGTTGCTGAGAAATCCTTGCTTGGATCAGGATTTATATAAACCAAGGATTTAAAAAAAGACAATTGGCCAATCTTTATACCGTAGTAATGATTTGCCATGCAGAAATTCCACCAAACAGACCAGGAAAACAAGGTGAAAAACATTTTACGCAAAAGAGCTTGCTTTATAAAATGGCAAACTGTTGTTTGATTCCAATTTGCTCCTTTACAGTGTCCATAACCTGTGGAATAATTTCCTCTAAGCAGAAAATTCTGCAGGTCCTTTTTGCACTGTTGCAGAACCTCTTAACTGCATTTTTTTTCTGTTTTGTAACTTGTTCCTCTGTTTCAATCAGCCTGGCTGTTATGCTTTCACTGCTAAAGGTAGATGGGCAGCCTGCTTCCAGACAGCTGACAATTCTCTTACTGTCAGACTGCAGAGATGCTGTCCAAATGTGTTAATTTCCCACCCTCCTTTGTAGAAAGACAGTACAGTTTCTGCTTGGAATGGCTCAGTTTGGAAATAAACACAGCTGTGGTTTATAATATTTCTTACGTTTGGTAGAGCACCTTTCATGTTGGTAGAGCATCTCAAAGTGTTTCACACTCACAAGATGTAAATTGTAGTGGACAAATGCGCAGTCAACTTTTGCAGTGTTCCACAAACAGCCATGAAGTGAATGACCATTTCTATTTGGGGGATTGTTGGCCAGGACACTGGGAGAAACTCTGTCCACTTGTCATATAATGACCATGGGATTTTTAACATTCACCTGCACAGGCGGATGGGGCCTCGATTTAAAGTTTCATATGAAGGATGGCACCCCCCACAGTATAGCACACTGCAGTCTCAGCAAAGACTATTTAAGTTCCAAGTCCCAATGCGGGGCTGGAACCAGTAACATTCTGATTTGGAGGCAAGAGTGGTACCAACTGAGCCGGGCTGACACAAGCTTAAATTTGAATATTTCTCTATTCTTTTCTCTTTACCTGCTTGAGTTTAAAGCCATCCCTCTGTATACTAGCCAGTTGTAAACTTGCTTTTAGCTTCAGACATGTATTATTTTGACCACTTAAATTGGTTAAATTGCGTGTTAAATACAACTGTGAGCATTTGATTTGCTTTGCTCTAATTATATTATTTTTCACCCTGTTCAATCTGTTTACCCATCAATACCTATCATGAGCTGAAAGGTGGGCTGGTGGTCTGTGATGCTGTATTCTGATGTTCACAAGAGTGGGGAGAGGGAGTCACTTGATGTGCTTTCTTTTATCATCTCTTTCTTCCTCCTGCCCCCCGCATAGACCAAGCTCCTATTTTCTAGTTGGTACTTTCACATGGCTGCACCAACTATCCAGGTAATCATGTTGCTGTGTGGAATCACAGTGGTGAACCCAGTACATACCACTCTGGAACACAGCATGTCTCAACCCCAGTGTTCATTGGAGGGTTTTGCCAGACGTTAGTGTCTGGTGCCACGGTGTTCAAATTTGATTTCACTGAGTAGGCAGTGGCTTTTCAATTAAGAGCTTGGGGTGATGTTGATTTCCTACCAGTGTGATTGACCAGCGGAGAGAGAATTTAAGTGCAGCAAACTGCTGTGCAACAGATATTTTTCTTAACCACCAGTCAGTAGAATATACAGAATTACAATGTTTATGCTCAATGATTTCCAGTATTTTTAAACATTATATTTTCCACTAGTGCACTTGCATGTCAGTTTTCCATCTAATAAAAGTAGAGCCTAGTATACATTTGTGCTTATTTAATTGTAAGACCGACCTAAAATGTCAAATCCAAAGTGTCTGCTTACCTGCACTATTTCCATGCCTGCTGTCCGAGCAGCGTATTCATTGACTGTTTAAATCTACAATTGTATTGAGCTGCACAGCAGTGCAAATATTTAGTCAATTAAAAATTACAGAGGTAGCAAAATTGACTGGCGATGTCATGAATGGTTCAATGCTGTTAACACGCACTGTTTTTAATCTACAGTCCTGGAAGATCCTGCTATTTGGAGTATTGAATATGGTTTGCACAGGCTTTCTCCTGATGTGGTGCAGTGCCACAAATAGTATGGGTAGGTGAGATTTTTTGTATTCTAACCTGACGGTTATAGTCGGTCCAACCCCCATTATAACAAGGGCTTCTGATTTTCGATTTTAACTGATAAAAGATAAAACTTCCCAGATACAAAAATATATATTTTGGTGTTTATCCAATAAACTGGTGTGGCAACAGGACATGAGTCATTCTCCGCCTCTCCCTCTCCCCTCTCCAGGCACATTTGGTGAAGCGTTTGTGAAGAAGGAGACACTGCATATGCAATAGGGTGTCTCTTTCCTCTCTGTGTACACAGGCAAGTCTTATTGCAATAATGAAAGCCCTGAAAACCCCCGATTTATAAACGGTCTAAAATTGAAAAGAAACTACACTTAAAAACCACATTAATATATCCTGAAAATCAGAAGCCCTAATTATAATGCAGTGGTCGGGATCCATAAAATGACACCCTGAACTATAATGCATTGCGTTATAGTGCCAATGCTGGTCAGCACTTAATTATCAGAGCATTTGCAGCACTTGCTAGGGACGCAGCTGAGTGGCATTGAGGCTACTGCTTATATCCAGCTGAAGTTGTACAGTATATAAATTCACTTTCAAGTCACAACCTCATAAAACTAAGAATCTGGAAACTAAAACATGTCCACACACACATTTTTATTTGTCTAGCGCCCCTCACATCAGGAGGACATCCCAAAGTGGTAGACAGTCAGGGATCCGCACCCGAGCTGGTGGTTGCGATCAGGAGGGATGGAGGGCAGGGAGAGTAGGAGGATGTCCGAAGGCACGGTCAAAGAGGAGAGTTTTGAGACGCGTCTTGAAGGAGGCGAAGGTGGGGGTCGAGGCAGAGAGACTGTGTGATGGAGTTCCTGAGGGTTGGAGTTCCTGAGTGTGGGGGCAGAGAGGCTGAAGGCCTGTCTGCCAATGGTGGATCGGGCAAGGCGGGCTAGAGCCCGCTTCACATTATTTAAAACAAATTTTATTTGTTTTTAAATAAAACACAATTTAAACATAAAAGTCAACATATAATAATAATAATAATCCTTGCATTTGATATAACGCTTTTCACATCTTCTGGACGTCTCAAAGCGCTTCACGGAATAGACTACAGTAAATTCAGTGTCCCTAAATAGTTGTGGTTTGAAGTGACCAATTTATTATTGTTTTATCTTCTTGAGGGATTATTATCAGGTGTGTGGAGAAAGGAAACTTGCCCAAGGTTTCACCCTGCTGGGAATCGAACCCAGGTCTCTTGCTTGCAAAGCGAGTACTCTAACCACTGCAGGACTCCACAAAGTTGTTGAAAACAACTCTTAAATCTATATGGATTCTTAAATTGTTTTTAAGCTACAGTTTAAATGGTTGTTAAATGACTGGGTTTAGATGTGGTTAATCGCTTTGACTTAATTATGTCCAATTAATTATGTTGGTCGAATGTAGTTCGTGGTATTTTCTGAATTAATATCAAGTGGTAAGTCCTGAATATCAGGTTAATTGCATTTTTCAGGTCTCTCCAATAATGCTGAGTTTTCGAACTAAAATCTTTGTACAACTTCCTCTAACCAGTTGTAGTTCCAACTCATTTCTAATATAGTACAAAATCACCAGGGTTTGTCATGCGGATCATCGTAACATTTCTGCAGCCTCTTCTGTGATTTCTTAGTCGGGGCACCCTGTTAAAGTACCTACCTTTCTTTCAGTAGGCTGTCCTAAGTTGAATTGCTTTGGGGAACCCGTTTTCCAAGAGTATACCATTCTCCTGGTAAACTCATGGACCCATGCATGGATCTTGACCACGATTGCTGGCTTTCCTAATGACCGGGACTGCTACTTTTTTCAACAAAACCATTTGATTTGGTGTAATGGACTGAAGACAATATGCATGAAGTGGCACAGCTGAACAAAATTTCATCCTAAGACAAGCTCCATTGTCAGCAAAGATCTCTGGTATACTATTTCTAGAGAATGTAGATTTCATTACTTGAATGACCAATTTACTACAGGCATGGATCTAGATAGACGACTGAGTAATTAGAGGAATAATCCACAACTACCAAGTACTCCTTTTTGTTTGTTTGTACTCCAAGACCTGAACAGGTTTCTGCAAGTCTTCAGTCCAGCTCACTCCGTGATGACCAATGGGTACATAAATTTTCTAGGAGTGTATATTACATATACCGTAGATCATGTTTCTGCAATCTTAGCAGCAATTTTTTGATTCTTGGTAGATGACCTTTGTATGAGTTCTTAAAGAACAACTGTAATGATTGAACCTTATTATTTTCAGGGCTTTTATGGTTCAATCAGAAAACTTGAATTTTCTGCAGAGATAATTAATTCTGATATTTTGCGGGGATGATTTTCACAAGGCCTCTCAATGTGTAGGAAACGTTTAACTTCCATCATCATTTTCATTTCCTGTGCATCAGGGTCAGCCTGGCTCAATTGGTAGCGTCTACGAATCTGGTTTGGTTGTAACTGAAAGTCTAGGCTGACACTCCAGTGCAGTGTTGGTGGAGCACATCATTGTCAGAGGTGCTGACCTTTAGATGAGACATTAAATCGCGGCCCGTCTGCCTTTCAGGTGGACCTTAAAGACCCCATTGCATAATTCAAAAAGTAAAGGGAGTTTCTCCCAGCGTTATTGGCCATCATTCCCTGGATAAAATTGATCATTCACTTCATGGTTATATTTGCGGCCTACAAAATAGTCACTACACTTTGCAGTAAATCCCTTTGAAGCACTTGGAGATGTCATCCTGACGTGAAAGATGCTGTATCAAATGGAAGGATTATTGTCATTTATCCCCGACACATACATTTGTTTGTGTTCTCTCTCTAACTCTCTGTCAAGATTTTATATTATCTGTGTTGCAACTTGACTCCATTGTATTCAAAGTTATCTTTTGCAAGGAATCTAAATGATAATGATTTGTTGTGCATGTTTGCTGCAGAGTGTCTCAATGAGGGATTTTGTAGTGCAATGATCATAACATTGCTCTTAGCTCTTTTGAGAACTGTCGAACTGCCCATAAAAGGGCTTCTGATGAGTTAAGTGACCGACTCAGAACTTGATGTGCCATGCTTAACTTTAAGAGAGATAAGATTATGAAAAAGGAGAAAAAAATCCAACAAGAACAGGATTAATCTCACCATAGAACTTTTACACAATCTTTTTCTTTGGGTTTGCATTTACTCTTACACAAGATCTACATGTAGAGGTGGAGGGGTTATTTGTAGGAAAGCATCTTTTTCCAGAAAAGGGCTGAAACCTTTTGCTCCCCACCTCTATTAAGTTCCAAGAGTTCTTAAAATGCCATTTAATATCTATTGAATGTTAGTAAGATTGGGTGTTCAGAAGAGAAAACCTAAAACGCTGTTGAACATAAAACCTTATTTATCTTCCATAACGGAGGGAGAAGCTCCCAATTGCTAACTGAATTAGTGGACAATCTGAATTTGGGGAATTAACTGAAAGGGAGCTAAACTTCCCAATTATACCACATAATCAGGAAGGAGAATGGATAATTCAGTTAATAATACTCGTATTTGATATAGCGCTTTTCACGTCTTCTAGACGTCTCAAAGTGCTTCACAGAATATACTGTAAAGTGACTTGACTATTTGTGGATAATGAAAGTTCTTTTATTGATTTGTGCTATATTTTTAGTAGCCTTAAATGTTAAATCTTTTAACATTAGGATGGACATTGAATGTGGATGGATAGAAATTGCACGCAATAGCAGAGGAAAATTCCAAGGCAGAGGAATGTATATTACTATATAATAGTAATTAATGATCACAACGATATAAAATAATGGAATCCAGACTAGGCCATTTGAAGACTGTTCCATCATTTTACTTGATCATAACAAATTTTTAAATCTAATTTCCTTGCTTTTTTCCATTTCCCTTGAACGTTTACTTTCCAAGTAAATATTTACCTTCCCTTTAAACATCCCTATCCAGTAAATTCATAATGTTAACATATTATATAATAATCCTTGCATTTGATATAGCTCCTTATCACGTCATTGAGGTGTCTCAAAGTGTTTCACAGAATATACAGTAAAGTGTATAGGTTTTGTTGGTGAAATATACTAAATATATTACATTTTGTGTTATAATACCACCTCACTGAGTTGGTATTATCTTTTCACCTGCAGTACATTTCTCTGGGTAACAGTACAATAAAATGTTACATAAGCAAGAATAACAAATTGCTCATAGTGAGTAGGTGGCAGTAAATCAATGTCTTGAGTTTTGCTTTTCATAAATGCATCTTTTTCACTCTTGTGGTTTGACGTCATCTGAATAGCTTGATTGAATTACTTCCTTGTAACTCTGTACATGCCATCTATTATCCTATATATTTATTACCCGGTCAATAATAATATTGAATTGTACATAGAGTCGTGTTGAAGGAGATCCGTTCCACAGCACTTAACCAGCGTATAGCATTTAGAGATCAGATTTTACATGTGTTGCATTCTAGGTCGCAGATTGTTATCCACTTTCTAGCTGGTTGAAACGCTTGCACTCTTGCTTCAAAAAAGCATTTTGCATCTGTCAACACTGTTTCCACCAGCAGAGACTTAGCAGTCTCCAAGTGAGATTTTTAAAAAAATTTATAGCATGTGTAGTAAATTAGAATGTTTAAATGCCATGCTTCTGGTGACCTGTGCAGTATACTGCAATCTGTAAATAATTGTTCTAAGTTGCAGGGTGGTGTTTTGTTGTATTGATAATCCTATCATTGGAGCATCTTTTATTAAAAAGTATAGATTTTCAGTTGTAATTCACATAATCTGTTCTAAGCATATTGTTTGGTATATTATACCCTTGATGGGGTGCAGCTAAACAACCACCAAAGTAGAGGACTTGCAAATCCTGAATAAAATGTTCTCCTATCTGCAAATGCTTTGTTGTGAATATATAAAATTATAAAGAGATTTGTCTGGATTTTATCCAAGTTGCTTTATTCTCCAATCTTAACCTGTCAGTCAAATGTACATT